GACAGCTTGAGGCTCTGTCTCAAAAAAAAAAAAAAAAAAAAGAAAGTAGCAATGCCAGGATGTGAACCCAGAAAGTCTGGCTGCAGAGCCTGTGCTTCAGATTACCTTGTATTAAACTCATTTACTTGTTTTCACCTTTAGACTCAAATCTCTCCTGTCCTCAGTCTGGTTCTCACCTTGATGCTAGCTGTGCCTGGATGTCCCTGGTGCCCTTGGTGCTGGCCACAGACCACAAGGGTCAATATACCCCTGAAATGTTTACTAATAATACTGAGATAAAGGTGCAGCCTCTGACTTTGGAAGCTTGTGGACTGGGTAAAAGGGCAATTCTAGAGTGAATCACTGTGCAACAGTGTGTACAAGAGCTAGGGGAGCCCTGCCCTTCACTGACCACACCCAGCCTCTGACTCGGTCACCTTGTCTTTGCTCAGTATCTCTGGCCCCTTGCCTGCTCTCGGTGGCCTGTCTTGCTCTGCATTCAGGGTCCCAGTGGGATGCAGACAGCACCCTCAGAGGGTGTGGCCAGAGTTTAATGAAAGGACATTTATAGCATGTGATCGGGGATAAGGGAACCAACAAGGGATGGTGGAATTCCCAGAGACGAGCAGTAGCAGGGCAATGTTGCCCCCAGGCCTGAAGGGTCAAGGGAAGACTGCCCAGACATGGAGCCTTGGATGGGGTGCCTGGCAGGACCTCTGGCCGGAGGAGTGCAGCCACCATCAGGGTGAGGTCCTTCCTTCCCTGCAGTTAGAATACCAGGTATAATTGTGAGGACAGGGGGCCTGGGGTTATGCAATTCTTAAAAGGTAAGCCTCCTAGGATTTAGAACAGGCTCAACAAAAGTGGGGAGTGGATTGGGAGGTGAAGGGAGCTTTAAAAGGAGAATAATCTGTCTTGGTGTTCTGCAGTTAGTGAAAAAAAAGAAAGAAAGGAAAGGAGAATAAGCGGCATAGCAGGTAACTTACTGCCCATTTCTGGTTACTTCCCTGGGTTCCACTTATATGCCTATTCTTCTGACCTGTTATTAATCCTTCTGTCTGTATGTCCAAGCTCTTAGAGTGCGTGAGGTCTTTGTCAGACCAGGGAGGCTATAGAAATAACCACAGTGTACTACTTTTGCTGTTCCCAGCCCTACCCAGCAGTTCAGATCCTAGCGTTCCCATCTGCTTCTGTCCTCCACCATTGTTCCCAGGAAGGAATGACTATTAGCAGTTAGTTGTCCCTCCCAAAAAGCATTTTAAAGGTCAGTGTATCAGTGAGGGGGCTCTTTTAGTTACAAGTGACAGGAAACCTAACTCAAATTGGCCTGAGCAAAAAACAAAAAGAAAAAAAAACAAACCAAAATGGAGTTTATTTGCTCATGGAACAGAAAGGTCTGAGCGTAGTCTGGCATCCGGCTCTGATCCAGAGGTCCACATGCCCTTCTCTAAGGTAGCTTCATTATCAAGTTCCACATTGCGGCAGGACGATTGCCAGCATCTCCAGCCCATCCCCTTCCAGCAGAAAAAAAAAATAGAGAACTTTGTCCCTGACAGACACAGCTAAAGTCTCCTTGCATGTCTGGGTGGTTCTGAGATGGAACTGTGATCTGGCACGAAAGCCAGGGCACTGTGATGCTGCAAAGGGCAGGACTGAGTCACTGCTCACCCTGGAGCAAGGAGACTGCTCAGTGCCTTTGGACGCCTGTGCACCAAGACGGAGCTGGATGCTGGCTGGCAAGAACCAGGGGTACTGCAGGCAGAATGGAATATACCTGAACTTGCTATGGACAGAGTGTTCAAGCTGTTTAACTCTCTCAAGTCTAAACCCAAACTAGACCAGAAATACTTAGGAGTTTTAGATTTTAATTTTGTCTCTAAAATGCACCAGCCTACATTTATGTTCTGTTTCTCACCCTTCTCTTCTCCACCTAACCCAGAAGATAGAACACGAAAGACCATCTCTCCTCTTTTCTTTAATCTGTAAATCAGTATCTGATAGAGAAAAAAGAAAACTTTGTTTATACTATTTATGTGGATTCAGCTTAAAATAAGAAAGCAAGAGAAAAAGGGTCCACTTATATGAATTTTGGTTTTACAGGCTTTTTCAAGTAGAAATATAATTTTTTTCACTCAGAACTAATTTGGCATTAAAGGCTCCCCACAGTGTGGTTCCATTAATCATGTAGGGTCCATTAATCATCCAGGCATTGTATGGATTGTAGAATCAGACAGAAATCTCATTTCAAACATTTAAAGAGCCATATGCACTTGGCCAAATCAATCATCTCAGGGGGCCTTGATTTCTTCACTAGGAAATGGAGAGTAGGCTCGGCGCCTGTGGCTCAAGTGGCTAAGGTGCCAGCCACATACACCTAAGGTGGCGGGTTCAAATCCAGCCCGGGCCTGCCAAACAACAATGATGGCTGCAACCAAAAAATAGCCAGGCGTTGTGCCGGGCGCCTGTGGTCCCAGCTACTTGGGAGGTGGAGGCAGGAGACTCGCTTGAGCCCAGGAGTTGGAGGTTGCTGTGAGTGTGATGCCACAGCACTCTACCCAGGGGGACAGCTTGAGGCTCTGTCTCAAAAAAAAAAGAAAAAGAAAATGGAGAGTAGTAAGTACCATCCACCACCAGGCACTGTACTAACTACCTTCTCTCTCTTTCTATATACAAAGAGTGCCCCCAAAATATGTACACATTGTAAGAAAGGGAAAAAAGTATATTACGTTTGTGATTTTCCAAGTCACTTTTGACTTCTGTAATTATAAGAGGTTCTCACTGTAACTTGTATTCATCTTTTGTTAAATTCATCTTTTCCTTTCTTAAAGTGCGTGTGCATGTTTTTGGCACCCTCTGTATATATATGTGTGTGTGTGTATACATACATACAGTAGAGCCTCTGTAAGTTGACCGCTCAAGGGACTGTAGCAAACTGGTCAACATACGGAGGTGGTCAACATAAAGAACTAGGCCTACTGTACTGATACATGCGGTGCATGGCTAGTAGGTGAAAATTAGGTCTTAAGGAGGTGTCAGTGGAGGGAGGTGGTCAACTATGGAGGTTCTACTTACATCTTCTATGTGAGCTTATTGTACAGGATGGCCATAAAGTTCGTGTGGGCCATAAGGCTCTCATTTAAACCTTGCAGCAACCCTGTGAAGGGTCGATGACATTGCTTTACACACAGGGAAGCAGGTTCTGTGAGATAACAAGCTCATGTTCATACAGTCTGTGTGGGTGGAGCCAGAATTTGAAGCAAGACTGTCAGATTCCAAAGCCTGTGTGTTTAGCTATTATATTAAACTGTCTTGATTACAGGTTTGCAAGAAGGAGTTGTGGTGAAACTGAGATACATATTACAGTGCATATAGAATGCCTGGCCGGGTGAAAGTTCCACCCTAGTAGAGAAGTCTATAGATAGATTATAACAGGGTGTGATGAACTGTGCAGGTATTTCTCCAACAAGCTCAGAACCAGCACAGTTTGAGTCCTGTCTGCACTTACTAGCGGGGTGGACTTAAGCATGCCATTTAACTCTCCAGTCTCCATGTCCTCATGTGTGAAAAAGAGATGATTAATGTCCAGGTTGCAGAACTGTTATGAAGGCCAAATGATATAATGTATGTAAATTCTATTCCATCTCTCACCCTCACCTCCCTTCCCCATCTCGGTGGTTTGGGGGAGGCCTCCACAGGCTATAAACGAGTTTGAGGTTTATAAAACCTGTATTAACTTCTTCCTCTTCTGCCAGTTGTATGATGACTCCATGGTACATAATCTCTCTGCACTTTGTTTCTTTTATTTGTGAAGGAGATCTTCAAGTACCCACTCTATATGGTAGAAGGAATGAGACATTGTAAATTCAGTGCCTGTACTTGCTTTCCTTACCTCTCTCCTGTCTACTCATTGTTCAAGGCCCATCTGATGTCCAAAGAATTAAATCAGAGTTATCACTTTCTCCATGAGGCCTTTCTTAATGACTGCAAGCCTGCCTACCTCATTCTTCCATATTACTGGTACTTCTGTCTCTCCCACCTCCTGTATCTGTCATATAGTCAGCCATCCCCATCCATGGGTTCTGCATCTGCAGATTCAACCAACCCCAGGAAAATATACTTAGGGCCACAGTAGTTGTGTCTGAACATGTCCAGACTTTGTTTCTTGACATTATTCTATACAATACAGTATAGAAACTATTTACACTGCATTTACATTGTATCATGTATTGTAACTCCTCTAGACTCCGTTTAAAGTGTACAGGAGGATGAGCACAGATTATATGCAAATACTAGACCATTTTATATAAGGAATTTGAGAGTCCTTGGATTTTGGTATTCATGGGAGTTTCTGAAACCCCAGATACTGGATCTTTCACAGATACCCAGGGACAACTGGATTCACCAGGCACAATTCTAGAGACATGGGGAGCACCCCATAAGTAAAACGGCAGTGATTATACACACACACACACACACACACATATATATTTAAGTCATAGAAATGTTAAGACAAAAATGGAATTTATTAATCACTAAAAAGTTTACATTTTTTAACTTCAGGGATTTAAGGCCCTGATGTTAAAAGCTGCTCCCCTAGGAGAAATGACATAGTAGGAGAAAATTAGTCTTTCCTTTTCAAACATTGGGAAATAGCATTTCCTGACATCTCTTGAAACAATGAGGGATACCTGGGGAGGTGACCACCCTGGACTAAAGAATCTCAAATCGAGAGAAGACAGTGCATACATTTTGCTCATGAACATCTGTAGTTCTGTGTTGTATAATAAACTCTGTGCCTGGACTTGCTTATATTAATCTGTGTTTCCTTTTTTTTTTTTAATATTTTAGATGGAGCAAATTAAAAGGGCCAATAAACTGTTTACCAATGATTGTATATTTCTGAAGAAAACATTGAACATCCCTATCATATCAGAGAAGCCATTGTTGTTTAATGGACTTAACTCCATTGATTCTCCAGAAAATGAAACTGTTGATAGCAGTTTTCCTCCTGAAGAGGACCCAGTGGTAGCTAGGGAAGACCTCCCACCTCCTAGTCCTCAAGAGCCCGAGGTTCAGCCTGTGCAGCCTGAAGAAGTATCAGCCAGAGATTTCCTACAGAGACTTGATTTGCAGATTAAGTTATCAACACAGGCAGCCAAGAAACTAAAGGAAGAGAGCAGGTAAAAATACTCGATTTAAATGTCAGAGGCTATATAATTTTATTAAGATGTCTTTGCTGGGCCGAATCTTTCTCCTTTTTTCTTTTCCCTTGAGGCAGAGTCTTGCTCTGTCACCCAGGCTTAAGAGCAGTGCCTTGATCAGAGCTCACAGCAGCCTCAAACTCCTGGGCTCAAGAGATCCTTCTCCCCAACCTCCCAAGTGGCTGGGACTACTGGCACCTGCCACCATGTTCAGTTAATTTTTCTATTTTTAGTAGAGATGAGGTCTTACTCTAGTTTAGGCTGGTTTTAAACTCCTAACCCCAAGGAATCCTCCCCTCAGCCCAAATCTTTCTTTACTTTCTTTTTTTCTGCTTTATAGTGTATAGTTTAATTCTAGAAAGCTACTTTTAATATATAAAATCTAATGGAACTATAGCCTGCTGCACAAGGCTTTATGTGTTGCAGAGCTCTTGTGTCTGTTATTTATTGTAAAAAAATTTGCTTCTATGCTTTAATAGCATCACTGTCCCGCTAGCAACTCTGGATAGCAACCAAATGAAAGTATCTCATTGACACCTTCAAGGGAAGTCGTGCCCTAGAAAATACTTATAGAATACTGATCCTTATAAAATTTGTCAGACCTTGTTTGTTATTTCTTACTGGTTATTCCCTACATAAGATCTCTTGTGAGCTTTTGGTTTTTTAATTTGGTACTAGGGCAAACCTTTCTCTCTCGTATAAATTGGTTTCATTCGCCTATAATTTCAGAAAGGCAAAAGCCACCATACCTGCCTCAGACCTATAATCTTAGCATTCTGGGAGGTCGAGATGGGTGGATTGCTTGAGCTCAAAGAGTTTCAGACCAACCTAAGCAAGAGTGATACCCCATCTCTAAAAATAGCCGGGCATTGTGTTGGGCACCTGTAGTCCCAGCTACTTGGGAGGCTGAGGCAAGCAAATCACTTGAGCCCAAGAGTTTGAGGTTGCTATGAGCTATGACCCCGTGGCACTCTACCAAGGGCAACAAAGTGAAACTCTGTCTGAAAAAATAAAAAAGAAGGCACAACTTCCTGTGTTTTTCCTTTTTTGCATTGGCTACTGAGAAGCTTGCAACTGAAAATTGATACCCAGGTTCAATTTTGTTTTATAATGTTTTTTGTGTTTAATATATTGTTTTCCTTCTCCTTTCCTTAGTCCAGATTGTTTATTTCTACTTTATTCATCTTGTTATATGTATGGTCTTTGTTGTAGGTACCTTAAATCCTTTTGAGAAAGAGGTAGAATATAAAAAGCATAAACAAATATAATTATGAATATAACATAGTATAAATTTAATATACTTAAATATAGCAACAATATAAATAAATTAGATGTGAAAAACAAATACCAGGCTTGGCACCTGTAGCTCAGCAGCTAGGGTGCCAGCCACATACACTGGGAGCTGGTGGGTTTGAATCCAGCCCAAGCCTGCCAACAATGACTAGCTGGATGTTGTGGAGTGCCTGTAGTCCCAGCTACTTGGGAGGCTGAGGCAGGAGACTGGCTTGAGCCCAGGAGTTGGAGG